TAAAAAAAAAAAAAAAAACTTTTTTTTTTTTTTTTATTTGTCTCTTTTGAATAGATTTTTTTATAGGGGAGGGATTAATTTGAATAATTTGGATGGAGAACTTTGTATTAGTCTATTAAAAGCAGCGGAACATTTTAGACTCGAAGAACTTATAGAAGAATTACAACGACATATAATACATAATAAAACTACGTGGTTACAATTTAATTTTATAAGAGTAATTAATGGAGTATTTGTAGAAGACGGAGATGAACGTATAAGACATCATTTGATTCATAAGGTTAACGATAATCCATGGTATTTATTAAAATCTGATGAATTAAAAATATTAAAATCTTCATGTTTCATATCAGTGATGGATGATGAATGTTTTTATGTTAATCAAGGGACTGTATGGGATATATTAATTAGATGGGGAATACAACAAAGTCCAACATTAAGACTTGGTGTACCAAATTGGACTTATGAAGACTGGATGACATTAAAAGAAGCTATTAAAGAATTAATCCCTCATATAAAATTTTCAAAGGTATCACGGAATGATTATTATGGAAAGATTTTACCTTATAACAAAGTTTTATCTACGAAAGAACAAAATTTGAATGATGAGGTATTACTTTGTTATCTTGACAAAGATGTTTTAACATCAAATAGTAAATTATTAAGACAAGTATTTTTAGATGATAGTTCAATAATCAATCATTTCCATGCTAATATTATATTACAATGGATTACTGAAGGTAGAGAAGAACGAGAAACATTTTCTTCTTATCCAAAAATCAAAAAATCATTTTTTGATTTTTTTTGCTTTAAAAAGAATTCAAACCATAATAGATCATTTACACCTACTCCATCAATAAAATATCGATTTAACTTGCTATTTAGTAGGTGTCGTGATGGATTTCCTACGGAAGAATATCATAAAAAATGTGATAACTTACCAAATACTTTAGTTGTAGCAAAGATACACGATTCGACTTCCATTATTGGTGGATATGCTCCAAGAGGTTTGGATTTAGGATTTCTTACATTATATACTACTGCGATTGATTCTAGTTTTTTATTTAATTTTAAGACCGGTGAACCATTAATTGAGAAAACTATACAATGTAAAATGCGTAAAGACAGAGATATTGAAAGTGAATATATTCCTTATTTATGGGTTGGTCCTAGATTTGGTGCAAAAGATTTAGCTATTGATTTACATAAGATGAAAGCTACTTCTATTCCTCAATATTACGATAAACCAATCCATGATGTTAAAGAATTTAATGTTGACGATGTTGAAGTTTTTCAAGTTGTTGAATATTAATTATAGATGTAGGAATAGAAGGTATTAAAAATTGTTTAAAAAAATTGGTTCTATTTTATATTTATTATTTATTAATTAATTATGTATTTTTTCTTTGTGTGATAAACTGATAATCAATTGAAACAATGTAATAGTAACTATTAAAAAAAACGACACAGAATGAATATATTAGCATTGTACTATGATATATTAAATTTTCCACGCGTTATTTTTGTTATATTTTGTTAACTATTATGTAAATTACTTATGAACAGCAATCTTGATATAAATAAATATATATTAAAGTTTCTGAATGATTCCTTGTTTCAATCACTTAATTCTTAATTATTCTTAAAATCTTTTCTTCTAAAATTTATTCTTCATTATTTTTAAGTTCAATAGATTTTATACGATAAGCCATTAAGCACGATTTAAATGGAATAAGTTTCTTATCATAAAACATATATGATTTGCATGCATAGTCTGCATAGTCCGTGATAATTCTCTAAATCAGATATATCGGATAACCTGCATCTGTACCGACTGTACGTAATCAACGGATATTTGCAAATCATGTGATATTCTTTGAGAGAAATTCTTATTTACATCACATGATATCAATATTTTGTCAAAATAGAAAAATTTTAAGAAAGAAATTCTATTTATTTAATGTTTATTGAACTTATTGAGAAAGGAGACAATGTGAATTTCGCTCAGACCATTTCGCGTGACTTACACATATCAACAAATCAAGGGTTGTTTTTTTATTATTATTATTAATCGGTCAATAAAGTTAACACGGAACTTCGGCATATTCCATTTTTTCCTAAATGTGGGGATTAGTATCAAAAATATCAAAATTAGGTAACAATATATTGATCACAAATAGGCTGAAATTATTTTAAGTGTGACAAAAATAACAATTTTTTAATTAACTAAAACGAAATAGGATTTTTCTTTATGAAAAAAAATAAAGTACAACAATAAAAAGTTGCTATAAAATTGTAGTGATCTGTAAATCAATTCCGAAATTGTAAAATAGGTCCGCCATGGAAATAATGTTATTATTATATAACGAAAGGTCCTCCTTTTTTTTATAAAAAAAGTTTTTGAAAAAAAAAAAACTTTTTTTTTTCTTTTTTTGTTCTCCTAAAATAATTTTTTCAATTAATATCATTTTTTTCATTTTCTTTTTTCTAAAAAAAAAAAAAAATGGCTTTTAACGTGTTTGGAAAAAATTCCGGAAATAAAGATTCATTACCAGCAACTAATCCTCAACAATCGACAAAACCTTCATCCATATTAGGTGCTGCGGGATTTGCTTTCAAAACCAATAGTCCAGGAATAAAATCTTTTTCAACTGAAAAGATATTTCATAATTCAAGACCACTTAACTCGGAAATTGATGAAGGAAGTGATAGTTCAGAAGATGAAGATGACGAAACCACAGGAAGTGACTCGGATGATTCTGTTACTAGAGTAGAACCGGTTAAGCCAAAATCTAATATCCAAAATAAGAATAACAAGTTTGTCAATAATGTAAATGATAATCGGGGTGACAAAGCACCATCTGTAATAAATAAAAAGCCTCACGCAACAAATATTATTTCAGATTTTAGTAATTTTGAATTTCATTCTAAGTTAAGAGCGTTAGGAGGTAGAGCAGGAAATGAAAATTTTTCACAATCTGAAATTTCTTTTGGAAACAAAAAATCAAAATCAAATAATTTAAACAGTTCTAAGTCTGACTTTGTTAGTGGCACAACCGCAAATTTACAAAAAAAAAAAGTTAACAATATGATGACAACTGAGGAACAAAGTTATAATCGTTCAGATATTCGATCAGATGTTTCCTGGGGAAGCGATCCAGGTCAACAACAACAATCATCACCACAAGTAAAAAGTCCAACCGTGAAAGTTAATCCTAATTTTATTATAGAAGGTCAAGGGTTTACCCCTAAATTATCTTCTTATATTAATAATAATGCACCTTCTTATCATCATACAAATACAAATGAATGGAATACAAAATCATCAAAATCACTCGATTCTCGTTCGGAAATTATGTATGGAGGAAGAGATAAAGATAAAGTAATATCTTCTAGGCATATTAATCCTGTAATTAGAAATCCAAGGTTTAATTCATCGCCAGGAATTCCAAAGACTATGTCAGATATAACTTATCAACCTAAAGAATTAAGAACAGAAGCTTCTAATTATGATAATCCCGGATATCCTTCTTACGGAGGAAATTTAAATCAACGTAAACCAACTGTTCAAGTATCTGCTCGTATTCCTTATTCTATTGATGAAAGTACTTCTTATTCCGGTGCTAGAGTTATAAATCAACAACAACATAAACCAAAGGTTTTTGTTGAACCACAAAGGAAAGTCTCTTCTTTTGCTCAATTGAATAAAGAAGATGAGGATAATCTAGTACAAAATGAAGAAGAAAAAGACGAAGAACAAGATGAAGAACAAGATGAAGAGATAGAAGAATTAATTAATATGACAGATGATGAAAATATTCAGAGAAAGGTAAATTGTAATTGTGTTTCTAAAATTCAAAGAAAAAACTTAACTAACATTTTGTTTTTTCTTTAGTTACTTGAACTTCACCTTTCTAATAAGGAACTTCTTACGTTAAATAAGTCACTTGAAGAACAAATTAGTGAACAATCATCTGAACTCGAAAACCTTTCATCTTTTGAGTCATTGATAAAAGCTCAAAAAGAACAACTTGAACATATAAATAGTCTTGAAAATATAATAAAAGATTTAACTACTAAATTATCTGAACAAGAAACTCAAATTAAAACGATTAAAGATGATGACAATGAACAAAATAAAAAGGTTAGTTATTTATTTATTAAATAAGCAAATTAAATAAAAATTTACGAAATATCTATTTCACTTAGACAAAGGCGACATTATTTTATGATCCAAGAAATCTTCCTCTTCATACTTTACCAAGAATTATATTTGACAGAGGTGAGTAATAATTATATATAATTTAAATTTTACATAATAAACTTGTAGATACTAACTAAAAATTTATACTTTAATAGTTTATGACGATTTGTCCATTCTTTATTTAGTTATCAAATCACTTCTGTATACTTTTTATATATTTCCAATATTAATCTTTTTTAGAGTTACAAAAAAAGTTTATGAAAAATCAAAGATTAAATTTATGGAAATTACTGCCGAATAAATCAATATTTTATCTATCTACAGTATATAGAATAGTAGAAGTTAAATTAGGATTTTTTCTTTGTAGAGGACATTTCTAATACGCTGGCCGGTATTTAGGTTTTTCGCTAATCCTAATAAACTTCTCGTAATGACGTAAATTCATTAAAGATATTAATAATGATTTTAGTCTATGACGGTCTATTAATTTAATAATAAAAGTATTGCGTCATTAATTAATATATTATTTATTAATTTGACATTATTTAATATTTAACTCCTAATAATTTAGAACTTTGTAATATATATTGTATTTGACAAATAAACAAATTTTAAAATATTAAAATTAGGATATTTTAAAAAGTGTACATGATTACATTGTCTAGTTTAATCGCCATTAACCTATAACTAGATGTGGCGGCGCGATGATACGATTCAGTACTTGAATAATTGAATAATTAACTGGAAGTAGCGATATTTACTTTTTTTACCAAATTGAACCAATTAGGGATTAGAAACTTGAAAGATTCGATTTTCAATTCCAACGCCTAGAGCCAATATTTATCCATAAGAGACTCTGATTTTGGCCAAAACAATTAATTAATTCATTAATCTGAAAATATTTATATTTATCTCTTGGCGTTTTTAAACAATATATTAAATTTAGGTTCATTGTGAATGAGTTTATTGGCTGACATATAAGGCTCGTATAACAAAAAATTGTCTTAAAAAGCCTTATAAATTCGTGGCTTTATTAAAAAAATTCTTAAAATAGGGTTGTTATTAAACGTAAAGGTCGAATATTACATGCATTGCCGAGCGTTTCGTGAACCCATTCGTTACAACGCCCGCTTAAGTTGTGAACTTTTTTTGTCAATAAATTCAACTAATTTTAGATTATTTGACTTATCAAATAGAAAAAAAGAAAGGAAAAATTTTATTATATCGATAATTAGTGTAATATATATTACAAGATTGTAAAATCTCGATTCATCAAGAAAAATGAAGTATTCAATGAAAATAAATTTTAGTAGAAGTTTTAGAACCTACAATATTTCAAAAATCATATTATAAAATTATTAAATTAAATCCTGTTGAGATTAATATTTATTTTGTTAAGGAACATTTGTAAATGGAACAAATGATTTATTTATGGTATTTGGAATTGATCTGATAGCTCACTTACAATCAAATTCTACTGGAAAGTGGAAGATTAAAAAAACTTTTAATTTTTAATTTTCAAAGATAATTATTCTGATTTTAATTAGGATATTTTATAATATCCTTTTATAGTAGGATCTTTAAAGAGTTTTATATGTAAACCTTACCTTAGGCTACAGGGTGACCTATCTTAATAGTAAGCGGGGTCCTGCCCTTGTTTTATTTTTTATTTCAACATTATCTTCATTAAAATTAAAGTGAAAAGAATATTTCTGATACTAAACTCAATTGACTTTAAATTAGAATCATTATTTAAATAACAATATATAATTGTTTTTTTGGTCAAATATTGCAAATATAGATTTGGCAATTTTTTTAGCTTGATTATTTTGTCCAATTGGAAGTTAAATTGTTAAATAATTTTAAAACTGTTGTTTGTCGGTAAATAACTTTTGTCTGTTAAAGTATTTTTAAATAGGACCCCAGAAAATACTTATATAGGTAAGATTCCAAAAATATTTTTTATTAGTAGCTCTAAGCATAAGTTTTTACTATGATCGCTAAGCATTATCGATATCTAACCTTAAAAATTATATAAAAATAAGCAAATCAATTTTCTAACCTAATTAAATTTTTATTATAACACATATAATTTATAAAATATATTTATTAATTAAATATATTTTATTAAATCCAATTTTAAATATGATCAATAAATTGTGAAGCTAAACAGCTAAACTAAACATAATATACAAGTAGATTAACAATATTTAATTAATAAAGTTAATAAACAATAAAAAAAAATTTGAAATTAATACTATTACAAAAAATGTAAATTTCTTCACAAGTATTATACTTACACCTATAAAAATTAATATGTAAGTAGTTTCGACCTTGCTGAACAATTTTTAATTAATTTAGAAAGTTGATTTCATTTGACCAAAGGGGTGTAATTACGCTCTGAAGTTGTAGACAGAGAAATAAAAAATTCAGAAGTTAGTACCATTATGAAAAATGCACTTTTCTCTATAAATATTAGACCTACACTCATGACAATTAATATATAAGTAGTTTCGACCTTTCTGAACAACTTTCAATTAATTTAGAAAGTCGATTTCATTTGACTAAAGTGGTGTAATTACGCTTTGAAGTTATAAATGAAAAAGTAAAAAATTTAATAGTTATTACCATTATAAAAAATATGCTTTTCTATATAAATATTATACTTAGCCTTATGAAAATTAAAATATAAGTAGATTTAACTTGCTGAACAACCTTACTTAAGCATAAAAGATAATTTGATATAACCAAAGTGGTGAGTAGTGAAATTATATTTTAAAGTAAAACATATTTACAGTAATTTTACTTAACAAAATAAACATATATAATATAGTAATTTTATATTAAAAATAATACACTGAGTTTAATAAAAATTAAAAAGATACTATTGAAAGATAATTAATAAAACATTGAAAAAAAAAAACTGAAATTTCATCAAAAAAAATTTTTTGTTTATATATTTATATAAAATTGTAAAATGTAGTACAAAATTAACAATTACCGTTAGTGAAAATAAAATAAAAATTAATTATCCCTTAAACTGTTTTGCGGGCAAATTTGCCCGCAATTTCTAAATTAGGATGATAAACATTAAATTAATTCTTTAATTTTGGCCAGATCATCATATAATTTTGCAGATATATTGATCTACATTCTGGCCATAGAAATTATAGTATTTATTTTGCCGATCATTAAAAATTAAGGCACAAATACGCAAATAAACATGCAAGTTGGCACTTCGGAATTTTGGTTTTTTTCGTTAATTATTTATTTGTGGTTTTTTGTTTATTTAATTGTAACTTTTTTTATTTTCTATGATGGAAGCCTTGCAAGAGTATGAAAATGATGATTATATTGCTGAATTTTCACGAAATATTTCATTAATAAATGATGCTGATAATGATAATATAGATAGTAGTGGTGATATTAATGAAATAGAAGAAATTCAAGAAAATATTAGAGGTAGAGGTAGAGGTAGGGGTAGGGGTAGGGGTAGGGGTAGAGGTAGAGGTAGAGGTAGAGACAGTGGTAGTAGTGGTAGAGGTAGTAGTCATGACTATGGTGATAATGAACAGACTGTACAACTTCCACCTCCACCTTTCTTTAATAAATTTCAACATTCTAAACCTTTACATGAATTTACAGTAGCTTTACCAAGAGAACTCCTTTTACTATCACCCTATTCAATATTTTGTCTTTTTTTTTCTCTTGAACAAATAAAAATTATTGTTAAAAATACAAATATATATGCTTATGCAAAAAATGCAGGAGAAGGACGTAAATGGACAGATTTAACAATAAAAGAATTTAAAATTTGGTTAGGAATATTAATTTATTCTGGTATTTTTAAACAACCTTGTATTAAAGACTTTTGGAATAGAGATAGCAGATATCCTGAACATAAAATTACAACATTTATGACATTAGTTCATTTTGAACAGGTACTTTTAACTTATCTATTATTTTATTTTATTACTTAATTTATTTATGTTAATTTGAAATTATTATTTATTTAGATTAAACGCTTCATACATATTTCTGATTGTACAGTTGCACCTACTTTTTGGTATTCCAAATTGGATCCTTTAATGACACATATTCAGGCAGTTTCTAAATCAGTATGTATTCCATCATCAAACATTTCAATTGACGAAATGATAGCAAGATTTTCTGGTAGAAGTGTCCATACAGTTAGAATTAAAAACAAACCTACACCAGAAGGTTACAAAATTCTTTCTCTTTGTGATGCTGGATATACATATGCTTTTTTTTTTACATCTAGAATTCAAAATCAACCTGAAGTTCAACAAATGCCAGGTTTAAGTAAAGTAGGAAATGAAGTATTTCATCTTGTTTCTCAACTACCAAAAAACAAATCATTTAACATTTATATGGACAATTATTTTTCTAGCATTAAACTTTTTAAATATTTACGTGAAAAAAAAATTGGAGCTTGTGGAACTGTTCGTAAAAATAGTGCTAATTTTCCTCAAATTCTTAAAGTAGATAAGAAATTAGAATGGGATACATTCCCTATAAAAAGTCCACATCCTTAAAATGTTCTAGTTTTATGGTTAAAATATCCTTATACAGTGATAATATTCTTAAAATATACTAAAAATTGAACAGACGGTTTATTTAAATAGAATTTTATAATAATAAATTATTTTAAATTATACAAAAAATATACTGAACTTTTGAATTGTAATATTAATGGATATTTAAAATATTCTTATTGGATATGCAAAATATCCTTAAAATTAATTTACCAATAATTTAAGTATGAAATATTTCGATATTAAAATCGATCGGCAAAAAATATACTAAATATATTCTTAAAATAAAAATAAAAATGCCAACGTAATTAGATAATTTTTTTTTTTTTTTTATCTGATGTAG